GGTGCAGGTGGACCATCAGCCACAGAGGGGAGGGGAGGGGGTGGTGCAGGTGGACCATCAGCCACAGAGTGGGGGCGGTGCAGGTGAACTGTCAGCTTCTGTATCAGAAGGAAATGAGGGTTGAAGAACTTGTTTCTAACAGAGTGGGCTGGAAGTGAATATTTGATGTTAATAATTGTTTTTAACGTCCTACAGGCTCTGACATGTTGAATAAATTAGAAACTAAGTTTTTTAAAGATTTCATAAAACATGAAAAAATCTGTGAGATTATTTGACTGAAAATTCAAATAAAAGATGAGAAGTTCTGTGTTTATTGACCAAAGCGATAAAGATTTAATTATGTAGTATTTGCAACATGACAGATATTACAAGTATATTGATTAGGATGAACAGAAATACTGGTTTTTGATTGTTTATTACATAAAGCACCAGATTATTAATTACACCACATTTTGTAATAATTGCCGCAAAATGTAATAACATTATTACATAATGTGTTGAAGACTTTTATTACATTTTGTGTCATTTATTACATAATGCAGTTTCAGTGTGAGTTAATTACATTTTGAAGCTTGATTTTATTACATTGTTATATAATACACTGTTATTACAAAATGAGGTCATACAGAGCTGCTGAAAAATATTATATTTTTGTTTATCATAAACTAAATGTTAAGTTATTTATTACATTATTTCAGCCTTAAATAAAAACATCAAATTTAAAAGACTTTTTTAAAATTGTAGTTCTGTAAGGACCTTTAGTTTTACCAAACTTCAGTACTTTTATTTATTTTATATTTTTTGGTTGTTTAGTTTTCACTGATATGTGTTGTTCTTTCTCAGGTATTTATTTAACCAACATCCTGAAGACGGAGGAAGGCAACCCTGACTTTCTCAGATGCAACAACAAAGATTTGATCAATTTCAGCAAAAGAAGGAAAGTGGCTGAAATAACAGGAGAGATCCAGCAGTATCAGAACCAGCCGTACTGCCTGAAGGTGGAGGCAGAGATCAGGGTGAGAGCTCAATAATCAGTGGTTTTAAAACTAACAATGCTCGTATCTGGAAGAAAACGTCTTTTCTTTCTTGCACAGAGGTACTTTGAAAACCTAAACCCGATGGGTAACATGGATGAGAAGGAGTTTTCTGACTACCTGTTCAACAAATCTTTAGAAATTGAGCCACGAAATTCCAARCAGCCTCCCAGATTTGTAAGTATTTATTTACATAACTGCATTTAGGTAACGATGTCGCTTTTACTCCATGTGATGATGAACAATCAGATAAAAATGTAGAAGAAGCCAACAATAGTTTGTCATTGCTTCAGTAATGAAGTAAGACTGGAGTTTATTAAGGACGAGCAGCTGTCTGCGAATGTGAGAAATTCAATATTCTATTAGGAATAATAAAAAGTTTAAGTTTCTCTAAAACAGGATTATAAAATAATAAAGCCAGTTAACTCTGTGTTGAAGCCATGCAGATGTGCTGTACATACAGAGAGGATTGGTTCTTAACCTTTTTGACCTCGAGGCCCAATTTGTTCAACATAAAGGGACACAAGGTCCAGTCACACATTACCATACGGATCAAAATGATAATTATTATAAATCTTGGTTTAATTTGTATTGTATTTGCAT